GGCGGATTGTGAGGGCATACTGGCTGGTTCGGCGGTGGCGTAGATTGGGGAGTCAGGTGGTGCTGTTGCTGTTGCGGAGGTGGTTGGAGGGTCGAGATTGTCCTGCTTGGAGGTTGGATCTGGAGATGGGGTTGGAGAAGAGGTCTGAAGGTTATCCTCCTGAGTGCTTGAATTCGTAGCCATGATGAAAGTTGTTAGTCTGATATGTCATATATGTATCCGTATACTTTAGTCATATGGCAATATTGTTCAACTAGTGCAAGGAGCTATCGCAAAAGGGAGCTCGAAAGCTATTATTATCTGCCACTGAGAGCCTACGTCATCAAAAATGGATAACACGTGAGATTGATCAGGTGACTTCATTCACTGACCGCCTTACAGAGTTTTCAGACACGTTTACAAGACGACGAAAACCAAAAAGACAGGCTATTTTGATATCGCATCATACTGGGAATGAGGCAAGATTGGAAAAAAAAGGAAATAAAATAAACTTGCAGGCAGTAAAGTACAACTGGTACAAGGAAATATCACAGTGCTCTATGCTCAAGATTACACAGTCCCTTGACGCATATCTCTAAATTTTCAGCATCTGGCAATTACGCCAGATCACTCCCCTCCATTAACGTCACATCTGAAACGAATTGAAGTTAATCAATCGTCTATTTGAACTTCTTGCCGAAGAGGATGAGCTGGACCTGATCGTAGATAGACAGGACACCAGCACCGGCAACACCACGGAGGATGTTAGCACCAGCACCCTTGAAGAGAGACTTGACACCCTCCTTGGCGACGATCTGGCGGAAAGCATCGAAGGAAGAGTTGTACTTGACGGCCTCACCGGAGGTCATCATCATGCGACGACGGACGGTGTCAAGAGGGTAAGAAGCGATACCAGCACCAGTGGTGACAGTCCAGCCGAGAAGGAAGGAAGCAAGGAAGTTACCCTCAAGAGGACCAACCAGGACAACAGGCTTGATGGAGTCGTACATGCCGAAGTACAGACCACGGTAGACAACAATACCAAGAACAGAGGGACCGAAACCACGGTAGAGACCGGCAATACCATCAGAAGCAAGAGTCTTCTTGTAGACATCAACGAGACCGTTGAACTGACGGTCACCACCGCCCTTGGCGGACTTAGCATCGTTGGCAAGACGGGTACGGGCGTAGTCAAGAGAGTAGACGAAGAGAAGGGAAGTGGCACCAGCAGCCTGGAATAGTTTGTTAGAAGTTATTCGACAAGGGGTTTATTGTTGGGGAACATACACCACCGGAGGCAAGGTTACCCATCATCCACTTGGCGTATCCATCACGGTCCTTCTTGTAGGCGAACATGGACTTGTAGGTGTCACGGAAGGCAAAGTTAAGAGCCTGGGTGGGGAAGTAACGGATGACGTTGGCAGTGTTACCACGCCAGAGAGAGGCAACACCCTCAGAGGCGGCAGTACGACGGAAGCAGTCCATGATACCGTTGTACTTGCGGTCGAGACGACCGGCGCGAAGCATCTCATCCTGGTTCTGGATGAGGAGCTTGATACGCTCGATGGGGGCGGCAGCGGTCTTGGAGACAGCAGCGGAAACACCACCCACTG